TTGGTACATCGGACAAGGATACTTGCTTCGATCGCTTTCAGGACCATAAGTCCAAAAGGTTTTGCGTCTCGAATGCCGAAAAAGCTCTCTAGCAAACCTAGGCTCTAGGGATCATAATACACATTGTGAATGGACCAGCAGCCGTGGCCTGACTTTGGCTTTAGATTCTTTTAGGCATGGCTAATACTAAGTAATTTCATATGACATAGGCTCACTCATCGCCAGAAGGTGGCACTCCTCTGCTCGCAACTGTTAAACAACATATATATATATATATATATATATATATATATATATATATATATATATATATGCATAGTAACCTGAATCTCTCTCCCTCTCCCTCCCGCCACACCACACGGCGCCCACGAGGTGTCGGTCTACCGCTGCCGTCCGAGCGTTTGTGACAGTGGGCACAGCGCGCGCCGTGCAGAGGCCTGCATGGCGTCGCGCGGACCCCTCACTAGCGCGCGGCGCGGCGTGTCGTTTGGCCGCGCGCGGCGGGGCGGCTCGCCCTGGCGTCGCGTGTAGCTCCGAACGGCACCCGCGGCGGTCTGACGGAAGACAAGCGGGCGGGGGCGGTGCAACGGTGACCGGGGCGTGCGCGCTACTGGTCCGTGCAGCTGAGCGTCCTGCTGAGCCGAGAACGGTCACAGACACTGAAGCACGCCTCTGGACCGCCGGCGACCTGAGAACGGTCATGGACTGAGCAGGCCTCTGGACCGCCGGCGACCTAGAGCGATCATGGACTGAGGCACGCCTCCGAACCACCGGCGACCCGAGAACGGTCCCGGACTGAGGCATGCCCCTGGATCGCCAGCGACCCGAGAACGGTCACGGACTGAGGCATGCCCCTGGATCGCCAGCGACCCGAGATCGGTCTGGAACTGAGGCACGCCTCTGGACCGCCGACGAGGAAGTGAGCGTTTCCGAATGGCCATGCCCACAATCATGTTCCACCATCATCCCCACGAAACAAGCGTCACGCGGCTCCCCCTCGGCACGGCACGCGACCTCCACCCACAGGGCGGGTGACTCAATAGCAATGGCCGGCCTCGCCTCCCCTCCTGTGCCCATCAGGACGGGCCGGTGCCCACCCCCCACCCTGGCCGGGAACGCGTCCCGGGCACTGTGCGCCGGCAGCGGAGCGGAGCCGGCCCCGGACCGGTACGCGACAGCTCTGGCCGCGGCGCCGCGCCAGCCGGCGGCGGCGGGCCGAACGCACGACCCTGGTCCGGACGTCCGGCCCAGCGGCGTCGCTGGCGGCGGCGCGCGCCGCGCGGAACGCCGACAACACCCGGCTCCCGGTCGGCCGGAGCTGAGGTGCGTCACCCCTGCACGTCCGTGCGTCATCCCTCCGCGTCCGTGCATCACGGCTGCGCGCCTGTGCGGCCGGGTCCTGCTAGCGAGGAGCTCGGGGATCTTTGGCGGGAGTGATGGACCCCGCCAACTTCAAGAAATAGGGGCCCCGCGGAGTTGGTAATGTCCTTCTGCGATGCGATAAGTGTGCTGTGGTGAGACAGATGCGTCGCTGAGTCCGACTAACGCCGCGCGTTGTATTGGGCTGTTTGGACGGGATGCAAAGTGAAAGCGAGTTCGGCACTCCATTTGGCGTTCATTAAGGCTGAGAGACAAACTACCAATCAGCCGCGTTAGCGATCCTCTGTTGAAGGCCATCGACGCCTGCGCGGAACGCCGACCCAGGAATCCTGTCCGCTAGGCGCAGAGTGCACGCGGAAACACGACACGGGTGACGAACGCACACCCGAAAATAGGGTCCGAAATACCGAACACACCCTCAGGAGACATGGCAGGAAGTAGCAGGGAGAATCGGACACAGGTCCAGGTGATGAGGCCGCGATAGAGCCTGCGAGAGAAACACTCTCCCATGCAAGCACCAATCTACGAAAAGAGGAGATGAATTCAGAGGCATGGCAGCCGAAAGTGGCATGAGCCTCTGCAGAAGGAGAGTGTTCAAGACGCAGAGCTCGGTTGGATAGGGGAAACCGCATGAATACTACTGGGTGTCACCTTTCATCAAACCAAAAACAACTTTGTCTAAGACAGCTCAGGAAACTTATGGGAGCAGTCGGTGTCATTAGTTAAACGACGAGTCAAGTCGGTGAACGAATCAATAGGTTTTTGGAGGGTTTATGTGTGCGCACCTAACATATTGCGTCGAGTTTTACTCTGCCTGATCGCAACGCTCCATCTCTCCGGAATCGACAACAATGACCAGAAGCTGTGTGGGCGCGTTAGCCGCAGAATAAACGGATGCCATCTGACAGCGGAACACGGGTGGGCATCGGGTGTTGACGGTCTGCAGGAACGGACGCACGCCACCGCGCAGACGGCTGCAGCGTTATCTGCTCGAGTCCAGGGATGCCCAGAATGTCAGAATAACAGGCTTGAGTAACAAAGACGTAAACAAGGATACTCGTAAAACAGGAGTGTCGATTTACACGTTTTTGTGACGGCGTTGACCCCAATGTTGGTTTGAGTCCATCGACGTTGATCTTAAACCCAACATCGCATGCTGGAATATTTACAAAATAGTTCAGGAAGTAGTTCAATTTCATACAAAGCTTAGTTCTTTGAGCACCATACGATGGCCATGACTACTATCCTACTGGCATATATGATTACATTTCAAACAATGCAAACATGTAAAAATAAAATTGCAGGTCGTCAAAATAAAGTGACCTAAATCCACTGGGAAACATACACTTGCGAGGGATCAGTTGTCTGGCCTTTGGATAGTCCCCCCCCCCCCCCGTCCCCACCGTCGTCCACCGTCCCCGCAATCTGTTGTGTATGACGACGCATGATCACTTCCTCAAAATCACGCGCGCTCCCAAATATACCCACGGTGACGTCTTCTGAGCGCGAACAGCCATAAGTTTCGGAGCTTTTCCTCCTGCTGCCATGAAGTATGTATGGTGCGGACGCCTCGTGCAACGGCCGGTCCAACCAACCAAGTCTTAAGCCTCTGCGATCTATCCAGTGGGATGTCCTGCCTCATAGTTCGTAACTTGGGTTGTCGTAACTTCTGACGTTTGGCAGTCAGCGGACAGTGGGAGGGGGGGGGGGGGGGGCTCTCGCTTTGTCCACGGAATATTCGTTAAGGTATGCCTGGTCTTATTTGGAAGATTGTTCAGCAAACTTTGGTGTTTCGTTCACAAGTGTCTGTAATTCGTTCTCATGGGTGGCAGACGGTGTGAGAAACCAACGTTAACTGCGCTTATTATTGCTCATGACGAATTTGACATTCGCAATGGATCATGCCATCAGTGCGACAAAACGTCAAGGCCAAGATTTATGACCTGACGGTCGTAAATTACGACCCAGCCGTGTGCCACCAAACGAGCCAGACAGAGTGATGAAAGCCTCGGTCATTTCCCAGAGCCAGGAGGCCATTCAGTGTGAGCCTTCCAAGGTCTGCCAAGGAGGATGTCAACTTCGGCCAACTTCTGCGTCATTCCAGTATATTTGGCCCCGGCGGAGAGAGACTGGAAATACGAATGCGAGCCAAATTCGAGTCAAATGATGACGTCGGTGACGTGATGGTGATGATGATTATGATCAGGCGTCGGCGCAGTTGAGTGCCTAACTGCGAAGTGATATCAGCTGCCTCTTCACGATTTAAATCTATCCCAAGCGGTGCCAGGAAAATCAGAAGCGTCAGTGGATGGTGATTGATCTACGCGTGCATTCTAGTTCGTCCTAAAAGCGTATAATTGGTTTAGTCCGGCCTAGCACTCGCCAATGTGACATAGCTGATGAAGCCTCGCTGAAATGTTTCAGTTAGTCAGGATGGACAGCACATCTCACACGTAAACAACCAAAGCCGGTTGTGAAGCACGTGGCTCCCTCACGCAGGCACAGGGCGCACTGCTGGCGAACTCCGCGGGCGCGGGGACTCGGTTGGCCGCTGCGGGAACCAGCTCATGCCAGGACATGCCGGGTCGGGTCAGGTCAGGCCAAGGTCGAGGCCCTGGCCAAGGTCAGAGCACAGGGAGTGGCCTTGGGAGCGCAGGTCGGCCCGGTTACCCTTGCTTGTAATAAGTCCCGGCAGAGATGGCGACACCGATCTCAAGCAGCTCATTGGCGGCGGCGAGCGGCGCGCCGGACGTCTGGAGCCACGTCTGGCCGTCTCCGATCTGGCCCAGGGCCGACCCCCTGTCGGCACGCAGCAGACTCAGACCCCGCTCCCAGCCCGCCGCTCTCCTCCGGCGTGCGTCGGCGCGGCCGACTCGAGGTGGCTCCAGCCGCGCTCAGCCAGCCCGTCGGCGGAGTATGCCTGCAAGCGCGGTGGTGCGACCGTACTTACTCTGGGTTGCGGATGCTCGACTGAAACGCCTCCCTGAACACGCTGGTGCGGTTGCTGGGTGCGGTGATGCGCGGACGCTTGCGGCGACGCAGGGTGCGCGGCGGCGGCGTGGGCTCGCCGTCGCGCGGCGCGCGCAGCGTGCTCGCTCGCGAGTCAGCCGGCGAGGCGGGTGAGGCGGGAGCGCCGCGGCTCGCGCCCGGCGGCAGCGTGTAGAAAACGGACGCGCCGAGCGTGCGCGGCGGCCCCGGGCTGCCAGCCGAGTCGTAGCCGGAGCTCTTGGGCGACGAGGGCGCGCCTTCGCTCTCGCGGCGCCGCGCCACCGGCGTCGACGCGTCCGACAGGTCGCTCGGCGCGCCCAGCTGCAGCGACGACGGCGCCGTCGACGGCGACGACGAGGGCGCCGGCGAGGCAATGCGCGGAGAGCGCGAGCGAGGTGGCTTCTGCGGCGCCTCGCGGCCCGACAGTCGCCGGTCCGGCCGGCCGGCTGGCGACCCGTTCGCGCCCACGCCCGCCGCCTGCCGCGAGCAATCGACGCTGTTTGTGCACGGCTTTGGCCGGGACGACATTGACTTTGGCAGCGGGGTCTGCAGCGGCGGTTGCGGCGGCGGCGGCGGCGGCGGTGTGGTGGGGTGCACCGGCTCGCGGTACTGTGGCCTCTGTGCGGGGCTCTTCAGTGGCGACTGCGGAGCGCTGTGGTTCGCGTCCGGCCGCCGCGCCGGCGCCGCGCCCGGTCTCTCCTCCTGCACGGTTGGCAGCGGCGCGTGCAGCGAAGCCACGGACGCGGCGCGCAACGGCTCCAGCTTGGGCGGCGGCGGCCGCGGCGGCGGCGTCTTACGGCCGCGCATCGGGCGCACCACCTCCACGGGCCGCGCGGTCGGCAGGCTGAGGTCGGGCTGGAGGCGGCCGAAGCCGCGCGCGCGGTCCATGGCACGCAGGCGCGCCAGCACCTCGTCGCCGGAGTCGAGCGAGATCTCGGAGCGACATCGCCGCCGCTCGGTCAGCAGGATGTTCTCGTAGCTCTCTGGTCGCCGGTAGCGGAAGGTGTGCGACGTCTCGACGGAGACGGTGGAGTGCGCCGGCTGCAGGTCCGGCTGCGGCGGCTCGGGGCGCGTCAGATCAACGCTGGACACGCTCTGGCCGGCCGCCGCCGCCGCCGTGCTCGTCCGGTCCGAGGACGAGCGGCCCCCGGGCAGCGAGGAGGACCGCGGCCGCCACTTGGGTCGCACGCGGTCTATTTTGGACAGCAGCGCCTCCCGAGCTCTGCCAAACAGACGGACGTTCAGCGGGGACAAAAAGGCTGGCGCTGCTGGCAGGTGGCTGCGTGGGGTGTGCGTTAGGCTGGGCAGCGCCCCGTGACGACGGGCGGCCGTGATCGGTGCGTCACGCGGTGGAACGTGACGGGGACGACCATGCGCGGACACACACGGAGCGCAGAGAGCGAACCCTCCCCCCACCCCCCTCTACCGACCCCTGAATAGGCTACATCCGTCCAGGCGACAGGGCGACAATGCCGGCCAGCCGTCCACCATCACGGCGGAATGTGCCGCGAGCGTGGACGGCTGTCATGGCAACCAGCGAGTCTCAGTATCAACAATCGATGCTACAAGGGCTCAACAGTTCGCGGTAGGGGGCGTTGCCCTGTCTCTCTCTGTCTCTGTGTGTGTCCAGCTCGCATGCAGGTGCACAGAGCGTGCAGACTGAATCACAGGTGAGGTTTACATACCCCACCTGCTCCTCTTCTCTTTGTGAGCAGAAGGGAGACAGACAGGGAATCAGCGCAGAGAGTGAACAAATGCATATGTAGTTGTTTCTCACAGTAGATACGAGCGAGTCACGCAGAATGGTTCCCGCGCGTAATATGAATAATTGATTGAGCAGTGATTGTATTGGATTCAGATAATCAAAGAACGGCATGATATCATTGTAAAAGATCTGGCAGCACACTCAAACCAGAACCAACAGCAAGCCACTTTAACCAACCATCAGTACAAACGCAATCGGTGATTTGCCAAGTGATCTTTACCTTACGTATCGTTTTGCACTTCTGACGGCACAAGAAGTGCGCGGAAATGGCTATAAGCGTTCAAAGATCTCGGATGAATGTGGGTTTGGAGCGTCGTCGTCCCGCCAACAACGCCTCTGAACGAATCAAAACAAATCAGACGGCGGCGCGATCCCATTAAAAAAGATTAGGTGACAGCTTTATAAACAGCAGAGTGACGGCCTTCCCCACGCCCGACCACACCGGTTCACTGACACCTAACCCGCTACCCCCGGCGCCCGCCAGTGGGGGGTGGACAGGTGCGTAGCTCTCTCTCTCGCCTCACCTGTGCACATGCTGCTCGAAGTGCTCCGCCGGGCGGGCGAACAGGGGCCTGACGCGGGCGGCGCGCAGCGGCGGCAAGCGCAGCCTCCTCCGCAGCCGGTCCATCCCGAGCCGCTCCCCCAGCTCGAAGCCGCACATGGTGGGCGAGCGGGCGCTGCCGGCGTCGGCCGGCTGCCAGCGGTCACGGCCGCCAGCGCCGTCCAGCGCCGCGCAGCTGATCGCCGCCGCCAGCGCCGTATTAATAGCCGGCGGCGGCCGGCCGGCGGCCGTCGTCGGCGCCGTCGTCTTCGTCGCCGTCGGGACCGTCGCGCCGTCTGTCAGCGCTATGTCGAACCGCGCCGGCGTCGGTGGTGCGCGCGCGGCGGCCGGCGCGGCAGTGGCGGTCGGCCGGCGCGCTGTGCGTGACCCGTACGCCGGCGGCCCGTGCCGGCCCGCCGCCCGCGGCCATTTAAACCGCGGCACCGGGACAGGGGCCGGGGCGGCAGCGTGACTCATCGGCGGCAGTCTGCCCCGCCGCGCGGCCCGCTGGACTGTGAAGGCCGCAGGCGGTGGCCGTTCGAGCCGTGATCAGAACCGGAGCCGGAGCGGCCCCGCCTCTCGCCCGCCCACCGGGCGCGGCGCCGCAGCTGGCGCCCGTTCACCCCGCTGACGTAACGGGGGAGTCACGGGAGCGGGGAGGGTCACGGGGTCCGGCTGAAAGCTCAGTTTTCCAATGTCAAAGACTGCGCACTTCGCTGGCGAATGCGGCGGGTTACCGGTCTTTGTGTTGATGTTGACGGAAGCCGAGTCACAGGCCCCAGCGGGTCATGAACCTCATGTTTAGGAAGATCTTGCTCCACTTCCGGTGTCAGGCAGCGTCTGTTCCCTCCAGTTAATCAGACCACCGCATAGTTGTGATGATGCGGCGATTGTTGTGGGCAGCTATAGCATGCGCCGCCGTGCCTCTTGCTAATACCGTAACAGGTGTTTGGTCTCATAGTCATGGGATCGCTCGTTTCCCACGCAGTCACCGTTGCGACGTTGACCGAGGCCGCCACGTGCCGTCTCCAGCTCCGTGCTGCACCGTTGCCGGTCACGCCACCCTACTGCAGCTTTTGATGTCGCGCCGCCCTCCTCGTCTGTCTGCACTCTCCCGTTCCTCTCACCGCGGGGCAAGCCCGGAGCACGTGTTACCTGAGGCCGGTAGTATTGCACCGTGTAGTCGCCCCCGCAGTCGGCAGCCGTCACCAACCACCGCCTTGCACCGTGCCACCGTACCGCTCTGGCGACCGCTCGGACCGAGCGAGCCGGCCCGACAGCCGCCGGCCAGACGGGACAGACAGGGCAGACCGAACCGCCGCCGCCGACGTGAAAAACGCCATGACGCTCGTTGTGGCAATCAGCGCGTCCGCGACGGCCCCCAGCTCCCGCGCCTGTCGGTGGGACGGCGCGGGGTGTTTGACCCTGCCCGGTCGGACAGGGCCGGGGCGGACGGGAAGCACGCGTGGCCGCCACCGCCACGCCACGCCCCGCCGAGCACGGCGCGTGCCGTCCGGGACACGCCCCCTCGCTCGGCCCGACCGCCCGTGGCGCCCTCTTCCGCGCCGCCGCTGACCGCCGCTCGGCGGCATTGTCGCCATGCGGCCCAGACTAATGCCGCTAATGGTGTCGACAGCAGGACAGTGCCGGCGGTCGGGGCGACGGAGTGTTTCCGATAGGGGCTTGTGTGTAGTGTTAGCGCTCTTCAAAGTCGGTTGGTGGTTGTAGCGGCCAGCCTGTGATTACGTTTGTTTGGATTTTGGTGCGCACAACGCGGCACGCTTTTCGCGCCGTTTGTGAAACGCTGCCAAAACTGCAGCCAATACTTATGTCATGCGCTGGGTTGCGGGCTCGAATGAAAAGCAAAATCTGTGTGTTCACGTGGAAGATATTGACACCATGCATTGAACCATTTGCTGGCAAGAAAGCTTCTCTCTTACAAAACGTCAGGTGAAGTAATTCGCTCAGGGATAAATAGCTGTAGATTTCTAACAGACCTTTTGACAAATCTAGCACTATCCACCACGCTCTGACGCAGTGATGGATGATGATGATAATCAGTTTGTTACAAACAGCCAAGAAATGGGCCACGGGAATATTTTACAGGAAGGCTGCATTTCATTCAGAGAGCAGTCAACTGACTTCTTATAGCAAAGACAGCCTCTTGAGGCCTGCCAATCCGATAGACACACAAGTTCGCCATTGGCCAGTCGGCCCAGCCGCAAGGAGCTCCAGTAAAAACAACAACAGCCGGTGCTCGTCACCGCGGCCTGCCCGGGGGCATACCACCGGGCCGCCAGACTCGGTGGGTGCAGACGGCTGCCCGGGGGCATACCACCGGGCCGCCGGACTCGGTGGGTGCAGACGGCTGACTCGCCGCCAGTGCCAGACTTCGGGGCCGTCTGAGAGCTCGCCGCCGCGTCCAATTGGCCGCCGCCAGCGCCGCCGGACGGAGACGGAGCCCTGACTCACGGGTCAGGACCCGGCCCAGCCAGGCCAGGTGACATCAGGCCGCCAGAATACGACAGATGGGGAAGAGGCGGCGCGAGCGGGGACGGTGGCGCGGGTGGGCGGACCGTCATACAGCCATCGCGGCGCGAGCGAGGATGGTGGGCGGGCCGTCATACACCACAGCGGCGCGAGCGGGGGCGGTGGGCGGACCGTCATACACCACAGCGGCGCGAGCGGGGACGGTGGGCGAACCGTCATACAACCATCGCGGCGTGAGCGGGGACGGTGGGAGGGCCGTCATGCAACCATCGGCTAAAGCGGGAGTCACGCTGGACTCGTCACTTGTCGTGACCGCCCGTAATAGCTCGTAAGGGTCAAAGGAATTTCCTCCCCACAGAGCCACGTCTGACAGCTTTGACAGAGCCGTCACGCTCCGAAATTTCGTCGGTGACATGTGTACCGAAGTCCGACCGCCGGGGGAAACGATACACCAATGTCATTTGTGGTGTTGATCAACATTTCAGGGGTGTCAACATTCTGTAGTCAGCCTCATTGGTGTTGACGGCTGCACAGGTTTGGCAATATAATAAGCAATATATATATATATATATATATATATATATATATATATATATATATATGCATATAGTATTTTGACGGTTTGGCTGTGCACACGCATGAATAAAAGTTGACCCAGGTCTCACATAAGGAGTCCATCTTATGCGCTTGCTACCGATTGCTTAACAGTACTTAGGTAGGTTTAGCAATGTATTCAGCATCTAAGGTTACGTGACGCCGCCATATCTTAAGCCGAATACCGCGGCGGACGACGAAACTCTTGATACCGAGGACCAGGCTCGAACCCACGACTGTCCGTTCACGGTCGTGAGGCAAACACTGGAGCTACGCCATCCTTGTCGTTCATGATGTATGAAGAACCACCACTGTCGAAACCTTTAGCCAAGCATCACATCGCTGTCGCATTCCCCGCATGAAGACATGTAAATCTGGAGATAAATAAAGAATAATCACGATCGCCGAGGATGAATAACCTCACCCGAAACACCCTCATCGACATCCATCACCCGCAAATGTCTGTCACGAATTGACTTATCGGCGCCACGCACGTCCACCGCAATCAGCTGTTGTAGTCCGTGAAGATGGAGGCTTTCGTTTCCCGGCTCACACCAGATGGTGGCCGTCTTTCGTTTCCCGGTTCACACCGAATGGTGGCCGTTTTTCGTTTCCCGGTTCACACCAGACAGTGGCCGTCATCCCGCTACTGGACAGAGACGGCCTCCATTTCACGGATGACGAGTCCGGTGTAAATCCCACTGCAGAGAGCTCCGCCCACCCACCCATGGAGGACAACACTGAACCTCTGTTGCAAGCGAGGTCGAAGACTGAGCGAGTTCCTCTCAATATATGTGGGCATTTTCAGCTGGAGTGGCCCAGCCCGGCACGTTAGCCGGCCTTCCAGAAGCTAATTTTGTCCAATCACTGGTTCTAGGTTTCAGCAGTTTTCAGCGATAACTCCTTAACAATTCTCCTACATAAGCGGCGACACATTTCTGTTGAAACTAATGCCAAGAACGCCACTTGCCTCATTAAACGCGCTTAGTCAGGCGGGCTTTTTTGCAACATTATATCATCGCAGTTTGACCTTCCCATTCGATGTGCGTGAGCGGGCAGCGGCGCAGCACCTTTTTGTGCGTAAACCATGCATCTGCTCGTCGTTTTGGGTCATGTTCAAGGATTTAGACCAGGTTTCAAGCGGGAGACCATAGAGATGTGAGACGAACTTCACGGTGAGGGAGAATTAAAAATGCACCCCTTCTCACTTAGAGCGCAACCCCAAAAAAAATGGTTGCACACCCATACATACCCCAAACCTGTCCGTCCCGTGGACGCGCCAATAGTGAGCCGGAAAACGGTCAGCGGCACGTCTTCCGAGCTGATCCCGAATACCACGTGCCGAACCTGTCCGGCCCGTGGACGCGCCAATAGTGAGCCGGGAAACGGTCAGCGTCACGTCTTCCGAGCTGATCCCGAATACCACGTGCCGAACCTGTCCGGCCCGTGGACGCGCCAATAGTGAGCCGGAAAACGGTCAGCGGCACGTCTTCCGAGCTGATCCCGAATACCACGTGCCGAACCTGTCCGGCCCGTGGACGCGCCAATAGTGAGCCGGAAAACGGTCAGCGGCACGTCTTCCGAGCTGATCCCGAATACCACGTGCCGAACCTGTCCGGCCCGTGGACGCGCCAATAGTGAGCCGGAAAACGGTCAGCGGCACGTCTTTCGAGCTGATCCCGAATACCACATGCCGGGCTCTAAGCCAGGGGAGACTGGTTCATGGAAATTGCGCAGGCTTGCGATGCCGTTGATGATGACCAATGTCCACCACAAAGATGCGTGTTCCTGATAAAGGTTTGGCCATGATTGCGGTCGTCAATCACCGCAAGTTCATAGATTTCGGGACTGAAAATCTCGCGTCTTACGAGATCCATAGCCGGACATTTTCGAATCAACGTTATGTGTGATAATACTCGGCAACTCCAACGTCGGCCGTCGCCACGCTCGCCCCACACTATACATAGCATCTCACTGGTTTTAGTTTGCTTGGAGGAGCATGTTAACACAAACGTGTTTAAGTTGGGGACTACGGCGTGCGATGTCTGTCACAAAACTTAAATAATACACCCAAATTAGCTAGCCCGTGGCCAACGCAAGACGACGGCACTGCACCTGCGACTCTTCGGAATAGTTGCCAGCTCCACTTCACTGCGATAGGCGGCAGATAAGCGGTTTGCTGCCAATCAACACACAGGTGCAAGTGTAACTGTATTTTAATGCAGCGGCAGACATATGAAAGCCCATGATTGAAGTGAAGGGAATTTTCAAACTTTTGAAGACCTTGAGCAAGCATCGGAAGCATTCAAGCATTCATATGCTTTGAAGTGGAAAAACTACTCAGAGCTTTGTCAGTTTCTCACAATTTCTCCGTTTAGTGAACATGCTCCTCAATACGCCATTGTTTGATTTCGTCGTCGGGTTACGATTACCTTGCACAACACTGACTGTTAGCCAACTGACGGTCATTTGGTCTGGAAATCTTGCTCACGAATGCCAGGTGTGAAGGAAATGACAACTATATTGCTTGGGTCTTGATCGCCGCATGACCAATGGAATGGCGGGATTTAAATGATGTTATTATTGCGTCATGCATGACTGGGTAAATTAAAACGGTCTCCCCGAAATAGTCTGTACCCCTCCACAGGCGCGTAACTCAGAAGCTATACGGGGTTCGGTCTCTTAAGGACAGGGCTGTGAACTGCACCGACTGGTCTTCAGGTTGGCTGTTTCAGTTCAACCCCCCCCCCCCCCCTCATACAAATCTGGGACACTCCTTTTAGCTCTTATGTGATCATGGAAGGCAGCTAAAGTGATGACGTCCTATAGACCACTCAGAACAGCAGCACAGTTGGTGGAAGCAGCAAATAGCGATGTCATGAATATGTTCGAATGCTCAAAACGCTACGCGCGACATTTGCCGTGTGTCGTACTCCACCTCATCATAGCTTTTTTGTGAGAAGGAGTGATTCGTTCACCATGAGGAAAATACGAAGGAAGTGCATCTAAGCAGTCATATTCCACGGCGTCAAATTTGCACAGTATTGCGGCGGGTAACAATCCCAGATGCAAACAGCACCACAGAACCAGTCATCGGCAGCAGAGGTCGTTCGTTGAACGATGCAGCCACACGCCGCCGACGACGAAAGCTAATCGAACTCTGGAATTCAGGCCGCACCGACATTCTAAACCCGCGCTTTGTGTTCCTAGACATCTCTCCTTCTCGTGACTTCGCATCTTAGCGGCGCAGAAAGCCGACAGCAGAGGCGCACCGCACACCGTGGAGCGCGTCTGGTCATGGCCGCCCGGATTGGACCTGCCGCAAACGTTTCCGCCAGGATGGCAAACTGGCACCGGGTCCATTAACATGCGGAGAAAACCGATGCTGTGTTTCTTGGCGACGGGTCATTTTCCGCGTCGCGGGACAGTGACTCAGGGTGAGCTCCCATACCGTGAGACCAGGCCGTGATCGGGGACTGCCAGCGTCCGCGGAGGATGAATCGGAGCATGACGGTCCACACAAGCGTCACGGGCGGCCTTCAGACGTCCGTGGAGGGTCCTTGCTGGGCGCGACCGCGGGGAACGGGCCGCTGTCTGCTGGGGCGGCCTCCGGTGGGGCGCATGGCCGACGAGTCACAGGATTCCTCCTGGTTTCGCACCCCTCTGGTGTTCAGGTACAGCCGAGCATGGCTGAGACTGGGATGTTACTGAGCCCTGACCGAGCCCCACGTGACGCGTCGAGCATAGGTCTTCCGAAGCCAGGCCAGGTCACCGAAAATTCTGTTGAATCATCGGCCCGTTCGCTATATTAAGCTCACTGACGCAATTAAAACAAAGCTGAGTGTTGATGAGCCACCTGAAAGTTGTTCTTGAACGGCTTAAGAGCCTGATTGCGAGAGTTGCCAAATGCCATTTTGTTCGAATTCACGAAGAATTCATGGGTTTTCCGCACTGTTTCGGCACCTTTGGTGGATAACCCAGGGTTATGGTATACGAGCGTATTAGCCCAGTGCCCAGTGTCGTTGCGCAGAAAATCCAAGGCAGCCAACATTTATGCATTATTTAACTACAACGTTCAGCAGTTTGGCTCAGTCATGCAGGAAATTTCCTTTCATCTACTATGCCTGATCCTCCTCTGGTTTGCTGAGCTGAACGAGATCGCAAGGAACAGTGATATAATTCAAGAGAGCGTCTTGCCGTTTGAAGTTTTTTTTTTGAATTTTTTGAAGTTTTTATGCAAGCCATTCGCATTAATACGGCAAATTCCTACTTGTTTGCTAAAACCTGTGAGAAAGAAAGCTGTCTGCTAACAATGATTTGGCAGACGGTAACGTGACGTTTCGAATAAGTTGCATCACAGCACGGAATCTTACGAGGCGTAAGCATACCAGGTAATTCGAGTTGACCGCTGTTGACCGTATCAGGATAAGATCACTTGTTAAGGCTGCACCCCGCATTTAGAACTTACTAGTTCACACAGAGTACGTCGTCGCATTCACGTATACGTAAGGAAATTTAAAAAAAACAGGGGTACAGGCACCAGAGATGCGGCACTTGCCCAGAACCCGGAGCCGCCCCTGCAGCGGCCGGCTCTAGGCTTGGCACCAGTGTATGCCATCCGTAACGGTACGCCTAATGCTGGGGTCGGCACCAGTGGCACCAGCATCGACCTCTCAATGACGGTGCAACTATTGCTGGGGTCGACACCAGTGGCACCACCATCGACCTCTCAATGACGGTGCGGCTAATGCTGGGGTCGACACCAGTGGCACCAGCATCGACCTCTCAATGACGATACGACTAATACTGGGGTCGACACCAGTGGCACCAGCATCGACCTCTGGCTGTGTCGATCCATGGCCAGCTCGTCAGTCCACGGACCTAGAGCCGGCGAGGGTCGGCTGGCACCGGCGCCGTTACCAATCCTTCCGCCGGATCTGGAGCAGGCTAGCATGTCCTGGTACTTATCGGGGAAGTCACGGAGCTGCCAGCCAATGGGGCACCAATCCAATGCTGTCAGTGGTGTTTGTTCGGTGCTGGCTGTCCACATCGCAGTAACAAAATCGGATACACCTTATAGGCGCCCATTAACAGCCGCCTACGCGTGGTCGATTGCTGTTATAGAATAGCGTGTAAGCAATCGCCTGTAAGCGGTCTACGCGATCGCCTGCATGCAAGGTTTTAGCCGCGGCGCAAAGTGCTTGAACAGTGGAAAAACGGGGAAGCCTGCTGAGAGCAAATTATGTAGTGATTGCAAACAATAAATACGGCGTGGTTAATTAGCCATTCGCACGTTGTCTGTCTTCAGTTGCTAATTTGTACACTTTCCTGATCGACAGCCCACCACGTCAAAACGTTTACAATGCGAACGATTCCTTACCCGCCGCACAAGATACGTGCACGATTCGTACTACGCCTGCTTGGCACAGCATTTAGTTAGCGTAAAAACCTCTGAAGAGCGTCCTCGACGCATTGCAGATGCGATCGTGGGTTAGAATGTTTAATGTAGCAGGCACTTTCGAAGTTAGGTGACGGTTTCCACGGCACACTTACCACTATCGTAAAAAGGCATGGGCGGATGTCGAATGCCTCAAAATTATTCCCGCCCAGCTTTATTATGGCGTTTTATTTCCCACCCAATCGCGCACCAGGCCTCATGTGGAAGAGGGAAACCCGTCGTCCAGATTTGCGATAATCTAGCGCCAAACGTGTGGTGTTCATGGAAAACAGGCTACATTGCTCCTTCCCTCGACGCCAAAAACATTGCGCTGCCACTGCCGCACACAGTTCGCATTCCCACGTGCGCTCACTTCCGTACGTCCCGTCTAAACAACCCCAAGGGCACGGGCACCCCGGTGCGTGACGACTACGCGTAGCAGACACCACGCCCTGTCTGGGCGGCCCAGGCCGTTCCATCTTACCCTGCTGAGCAGATATAGTTGGCAGCCAGCACGGTGTTAGCAGCTCTCTTCCATGCCGCGGCCGTGAAGTAGCTGGGCGAGGTCTGGCCCTGACTTTGTTCGCCGCCGCCCAGCCAGGCTGCCAGCGCCGACAGCTTCTCCAGCAGCATGTCGGCAGCAAAAACAGCCCCCTGGCCCGCGAGGCTCGGCAGCCCGGAGGGGCTCCTAACGGCGTCACTGCACGGCGTCCTCCGGCGCAGCGGTGGACTTGCGGCGCTCTCTGGCAGCGCGAGGTCCCGCGGGAGTTCTCCGACAGACGGGCGCCCCTGGTGGGTCCCCAGGTCTAGTGAGCGAGCGGGCGGTTCGCCTGGACCCGGTCCAACACTGCTACGAGGCGTGTGCCGAGCCCGGCTGTTCACCGCGCCATGTGACCGCACCGCCTCCTCGAACCGGATGACGTCAGTGCAGCACCGGTGCGCAGGGACTGACGCGCCCGGCCGCGTGCTGGCCCCGAGAGACCGGGCCGACCCACCCGCAGGGCAAGCGGCCGCCGGCGGCCGGCGCGCTCTGGCGAGCACCGCCCCCAAACCACGTCCAGTCACGAGACAACGGCGGCCGGTGAGGCCCGGAGAGAGCTCGCTCAGATGAGGCTCCTCTCGCGATTCTTCGGCAATTGTTTCGGCTGCCGGCCGGTCCTCACGGAGGCGGAGCGTACTCACGAGTCCGGGAGCAGCGGGAGGGAGAAACCCCGTCCGAGACGGGTCTCTCGCCCTCAGGCGAACGTGGGGAGATAGGGCTTCTCCTGGAGTCGTCTCCAGCTGCGCGGTTCCCAGGAGTCACGCCCTTCGCCCGCCGGCGGTCCGCAGCACAACACGCCCTACTGGCGACTCGCAGTCCGCTGCGACTGCAAGAACGGTCGGCCGCGCCACCGCCACGCTCCGTCTCGCCGCCCCTGAGCCTGCAGGCATGCACGGCTGCGCGCAAGCTCGGTGCGATCGCCCTGTCTCGCTGCGCACGTGTACGTGCCGGTCCGCATGCCGGCGTGCGTGGCCTTGCGGGCAGGGAAGCCCGCGGTCCCAGAAACCGGCATTGGTGCGGTGACTCAGTAGTAACGTGATGACGCAACTGGCCAAGTTGTTTCACTGCTGCGGCTCGGTCCGGCCCTTTGGTCGGCGTCGGCGTTGTGGCAAAAGGAGGATGGTGTGCGACGTTTGAACCAGCTGTCGCCAGGCGATGCGTCATACGTGACGTCATATCTTTTTTTGTCCGTCGCCTGTTCTGGATGGTCCTGCCTTGCTTCCGGACTGGAGCGAAAGTGATGATTCCACAGGTCGCCGTCAGTTTGCAGGGCGGCCAGCCAGCTGTACGCGTCGACAAATGTGTCGTTTGGTGCCGGTTTGGTGCCAGTTCTCTCTACAGATCGTGGAATGCATCCCGCTCGGTTCTTACCATTTGTAACTGACGCCGATGGCATGTGAGCAGCACACGGTGTGGTAAGTGTCGCGATATGACGTTTATGGCCCGCGTCATCTCCCATATTGGCTTGGGGCACGGCCCCAAACATCCGTGAAAGTTGAACAATTAGGACTGTGTAGGTATGTGTTACTTCCACGTGCAAGCCGCTCACCCAATCAAAAGGCGTCCGAGCGATAGCAGTTGTTGAATTTAGCAGCCAATCATCCGCACCGAACCCCATATGATACCCTCCAATAAACTGCGATGAACTGCTGACATGTTGCATTATAAAAATATGTGAACTGAAGTGAACTGGCTTCTGGGCTGAGTGATTGTAGTGATCACCAAGCGTGCGACTCATTATTTCATCTGCGATTGTTTGGTTATGTTTCGAACCCACAGCTTAACGTATTACTGTCCGATTATTTTGGAGCATATTATATTACATTACATTTTGGAGCACTCAGTAAACACACAACTTGAACAAACGTTACATCGGCTAAAGTTGCGGTCTTCTGGTTAGATGCGATCCATTTGTGAGGTCTCCGAAAGCGCGAGACCCTCTAAACAAAAAAGACGATTTTGGTGCAATGTAGCCCAAACGAAAAGTAGAACCCTTGTCTGCATTTCGGAATGTTCAATCAAGAAGTGTTATCACAGGCAGTGACAGGAGGAACAGGTGGAGATCTACATAATGAAATTGATGTGTTTTGGATCGTACCTGAAATGTTGTCAGGTATTGTTGTAGAAGCTAACCATTGTCATAAGTCTTTTATATGGTATCATTACATACCAACGTGCTTGTGTATACAGCAATGACGCACCCGGGGACCAGACACGTGATACACGCGCTCGGGGACCAGACACGTGATACACGCGCTCGGGGACCAGACACGTGATACACGCACCCGGGGACCAGACACGTGATACACGCGCTCGGGGACCAGACACGTGATACACGCGCTCGGGGACCAGACACGTGATACACGCGCACGGGGACCAGACACGTGATACACGCACCCGGGGACCAGACACGTGATACACGCACCCGGGGACCAGACACGTGATACACGCGCACGGGGACCAGACACGTGATACACGCGCACGGGGACCAGATACGTGATACACGCACCCGGGGACCAGACACGTGATACACGCACCCGGGGACCAGACACGTGATACACGCGCACGGGGACCAGACACGTGATACACGCGCACGGGGACCAGACACGTGATACACGCGCACGGGGACCAGACACGTGATACACGCACCCGGGGACCAGACACGTGATACACGCGCACGGGGACCAGACACGTGATACACGCACCCGGGGACCAGACACGTGATACACGCACCCGGGGACCGGACACGTGATACACGCACCCGGGGACCAGACACGTGATACACGCACCCGGGGACCGGACACGTGATACACGCACCCGGGGACCAGACACGTGATACACGCGCACGGGGACCAGACACGCACCCAGACACCAGACACGGGGTGATAATTTGTGCTCGTTTGCCGTTCTGTGGATTGGTATAAATGTCACAGCACCCTAAATATGCCGGCACATATAATAACGACAGGCCATTCCGAAATCACTTTGGTATGGCCTTTATTTAATTCATCGCAAATGGCGCGTATGTGTTCATGCTGACACTCATGATAAATCGATATAACATGATACAGTGATTCAGACATACAGACGTAATACTACGAGCATACTTGAAATGTGGATTGTGTGTTAAGTATATCATATTATATAATAGAGCGAAATAGAGTATATGATAGTGTCAAGTATAGAGAGAAGCATTTATATATATATATATATATATATATATATATATATATATATATATATATATATATATATATATATATATATATATATATATATATAGTGACAATATGTATTAAAACTTCATAGATGCATTTTCAAAAAATTGAAACTTTTCAGTGCACTAATTCATCGTGAAGCGCCTATTATCTGGCTTTATCTTTATCTCTAATCTAATGTGGCTAAGCTAATTTCAATGTATAGCGCCAGCGAACAGCGTGTGAACATGGTCATCCCACTTGAAGATGAATCAGGAATCAAATATGAAGTCGGTGGGTGCGATAATTCGCTCAGCCGTTTGTAACGTGCGAAATCAGCGCCTTGCAAGATTGTTATACTTGAGCTGAAATGAAGAACCACAGAAGAGCGTTATTGAAACAAAGAGCTCGTTCATTGGACATCGATATTTTTCAAGGGTTAACCGTTGTAATATATTTCCTAAACAAAAACAACCATGGCGGCGAAAAAGTTGGAATATAGTTAAACAAGGTTTTCGCCCTCGTCATGAAAACACAGAGGCCTTAAGGGAACTGACCTCGCGGTTTGTGCGCTTATATGTAAATAAATAGAAGTGTGACATAAATTTGCCCGAATGAAACAAATACGCGTCAAACATTATGTGTTAGCCACGAAGATATAGATTATATAAGAAGTATTCACCTAGTTAACCGCAAAATGAGTTATATGCGTACGTAAAATTAATTAAGCTATAACCCTGACAGCATCCAACTGAAACGTTTGAGAAAAAAACCTAGCACATCACGGAGCTCAGCTATATAACCATAAACATAAAAGAAAGTGAAGATGAATGAAGGCATTGCGAGAAAGTTAAGGATCAATCATTTGAATGCACTATTACATGCCAACAATTGTCTTTCTGAAATAAATTTTGAAATAGTTCGAGCACCGTGTGCCCTGAATACACCCCCGTCACGAAAAGCAGTGTAGAGTATGCCAAATGCATCCCGGCGCAACACCGTTGAAGCCATCTTAATCTTCAGTTTTCGAAATTGTTCCACATGTGCAAAAATGCTTCCCAAATCGGCTCCTGTTGCTGCCTCCCACGCCGTTTCGAGTTTCAAGTGTGTAAAGCAGTTTCAAAGTTGCTACGCTTGATTTGAATTGTTAAGAAGCATAAAAACTCAATGAGTCTAGTTCGTCTGAGTTTAGGCTAGTCCAGCTAGATTGGCCTGAGGTGTTGGGCGGCATCCACCGGGCAGAAACAATTCGGCACCAACCACCTTAAGGCGTGAACGCGGGGGTGTCGTTTCGCAAAATCCTTCCTGGCAAGGCGTCAGAAGGGTTAAACGGAAAGCCTACCCTTAAAATACGCAAAAATGGTCTTCTCATTGGATTCGGCCCATTTTTGTGTGAACGTTTGGGGGCTGGAGCCCCACCTTCACCTCACCAATGTTCAGGAGCACACAATCTGTTTTGTGCACGGTTTCAAATGCAATCTAACGACTTGTGTGATCGCATCTTCTTATTAGAAATCTTGGTGGTTTGAAAATTGTTGTATCTTTGGACTGTCTGCCGTCTTAGACCTCACTGAATGTTTCAGGAATGGTTGACTGCAATCGCTTAACAGGCTTGACGGTTTTACTTGACTAGGTTTTGACGGTTTGGAGGGTTTACTCACTTCACGGCGACAAACTTCTGCAAGCCTAGATGACTTAAAAGATCTTTGACGATTTTCGGGCCCAGGGGTCACTTGTCACTGGGCCCACGGAGAGCTTTACTGCATGCTTTATCTTAGTCACTCTGGCATTATTGTTTGAAGATTTTTTGTCGATCACCGATTTATGTGTGAAGCGATAAAAACAGCGCATGCATAGGCACGATATTGACACCACCGGCCGGGCCGGTGACGTCA